TTTTCACCCCAAATCCCCCCCCGTTCCGGCCCCCAGTGCTGCTGGACCCCGCGGATGAGAAGCTGCTGGAGGAGGAGATCCAGGCGCCCACCAGCTCCAAGAGGTGAGCCCCGAAAGCAGGCGGGCACCCCAAAAACACAAAACAGCCAAAACCCCCCAAATGGGCACCCCAAAACAGCCCAAAAACACAAAACAGCCAAAACAGCCAAAACGGGCACCGTTCCGGCCCCCAGTGCTGCTGGACCCCGCGGATGAGAAGCTGCTGGAGGAGGAGATCCAGGCGCCCACCAGCTCCAAGAGGTGAGCCCCGAAACCAGGCGGGCACCCCAAAAACACAAAACAGCCAAAACCCCCCAAATGGGCACCCCAAAACAGCCCAAAAACACAAAACAGCCAAAACAGCCAAAACGGGCACCCCAAAACCACAAAACAACCAAAACAGCCCAAAAACACAAATGGGCACCCCAAAAACCACAAAACAACCAAAACAGCCCAAATGGACACCCCAAAAACGACAAAACAGCCAAAACAGCCCAAACGGGCACCCCAAAAACCCAAAACAGCCCAAACAGCCCAAAAACAGCCCAAAACAGCCAAAACAGCCAAAACAGCCCAAATGGGCACCCCAAAAACCCCAAAACAGCCCAAAACAGCCCAAAAACACAAACAGGCACCCCAAAAACACAAAACAGCCCAAATGGGCACCCCAAAAACACAAAACAGCCAAAACAGCCCAAAACACCCCAAAAACACAAACAGGCACCCCAAAAACACAAAACAGCCCAAACCCCCCAAATGGGCACCCCAAAAACCACAAAACAGCCCAAACAGCCCAAACGGGCACCCCAAAACCACAAAACAGCCCAAAAACACCCCAAAAACCCCAAACGGGCACCCCTAAACAGCCAAAACACCCCAAAACAGCTCAAAACACCCCAAAAACCCAAACCCCAAAACCCAAATGGGTACCCCAAACCCCACACGTTTTGGGGCAGTTTTGGGGTGATTTTGGGGTTGATTTTGGGGCGGTTCTGGGCCAGTTTTTGGGCAGTTTGGGGGGCGGTTTTGGGGCTGGTTTTGGGCAGTTTTTGGGGTGATTTTTGGGGTGATTTTTGGGCAGTTTTTGGGGTGATTTTTGGGCAGTTTTGGGGCGGTTTTGGGGCAGTTTTTGGGCAGTTTTTGGGCAGTTTTTGGGCAGTTTTGGGGCCCCCCAGGTCGCAGCAGCTCGCCAAGGTGGTGCCCTGGGGTGACTT